GCATGTTAGGGTTAAGGTTACGTTAACCAGCTACGTATACCGACGGAACTCACATTTTCTCTCCGTGGCGATCGGATGGCGATCCCACTTATGAAATGTTAGCTTTTGTCGGCGTCCTTGAAGCACACGAGACATTTTAATAAAATAATAATTTACTCACACATAATATTCCACTTGCCACACAGGTTTACTCAAATGCCACACAAGCCCCAAACTCGCACGAGAGTGTCTCCGAACATTGTCGTCCTCCTTCACTATCTAAAAAAGGGCACGTGCATTCCTAACATGCGCAAACGTTTTGCTGTACATAACCAGCCCTCTCATTCCTTCACCGATGTGGTGTGCCAGGGAGCTGTGCCACATGTCTTTGCACCCGCGAATGACGCACCGAGTGTGCCTGCGGTCGCATCACCAACGCCCCCGCCTGGAGTAGTCTGTGCTGCTCCGCCCATTGGTAAACAGGGCCACCAGACTCTCGAGTCTGCCGGAACCTGGGCCACTGCAAGCGCGGTTAGGTTCGCAACCACTGTGAAAGTGCTCGCCGAGCAGGCACTATCAGCCACCTTGCAAGAGGTGAGGGATACAAGCCACAACCCTCCGGTGCGTGACACGCCGAAGGACTAGCGCAGCTTTTTAGAGCACACCAAAAAAAGAAAAAACCCCGCATTACAGGACCCCCAAAAGGCCCTGTAATCTAAGGCAACACTTCTTGTACACACAGCACCAAAGTATTTCGATATGGAGGCACAAATACTTCAGTGGAACGTCAGAGGACTGCTGAGAAACCTCAAAGATATTCAGGAACTTTTACACAAACATAGCATCAAGAGTGCTGTGTGCACAAGAAATACACTTGAAAGCAAAACACACTTTCTACATTATCATGCTATTTTCGCGGAAGGACAGGGATCATGCCATTGCATCATCCAGAAGTGTTGCTTTTAGAGTGAATCAAGGGATTGCCTGTACACTCCTACCACTACAAACATCCCTTGAGGCGGCGGCTGTTTGAGCAGTTCTTTTTAATATGTTCTTTCTGTATATCTCCACATCAACGCCTTGAAAAACATGACTTCCAGTCCCTAATCGACTAACTTCCAGAACCCTATCTTGTCCTAGGAGACCTTAATGTACACAGTAACCTCTAGTGTGGCTCTCGCTGCGATGTCGAGGTTTCCTGATTGAACAGTTCCTCTTTTTTTCCGCCACGTGCCTCCCAAATTGAAAAGAGCCAACATATTACAACTTCGCTAATAATACTTACTAACGTCAGAAGACCTCAGCATGTCTCCATCACTCCTGCCTCTACTTAAATAGGAAGCCATTAATAATTCATATAGAAGTGAGTTTTCCTATAGTTCTCAGCAATGTCCTACACAGGTTCCCAAATGACTCAACGACAAAGCCGGTCGGGAACAGTTTCATAAAGGTACTCTCTTAACTTGGACTGACGTGGGGTTGTCAAGCATAAAGGCTGCTGTAGGCTTCTTTACATCTTTTTTGATTGATGCTGCAACCAAATTTCTACGAGCATGTGGACTGTCTGGCGGACGAGTCCCATGATGGAATAATGAGTGCCATAATGTGCACAAAGAAAAACAAATAAGGCATGAAAGTTGCTTTGAAACTCACCAACAGCCGAGAATGTTATAAAATTTAAGAACGTAAAAACTCAAGGCAGGAGAACGCGCCGACAGGCGTGAAGGAAAAGTTGGTGTACATTTTTATTCGGCATTAATTTATACACAGATGAGGAGAGTCTGGAACAAGGTTGGTAAGATGGCAGGACAACGAGCACACACACTTCCTCTTGTGAACACACAAGGCGACAGTTCGGACGACCGGGCGAACGCTCTAGGGGCGCACTTCGAACAGGTGTCCAGCTCATCACACTATACTAAAGCGTTCTAACGATAGAAAGACGGAGATTAGAGCGCAAACCCACGATACACGACGTATACAGTGATCCTTTTTGTTTGGCTGAACTACAAGCCTCACTTACCTGCCGCAATAAACTTACCCCAGACCTCTATTGTGTGGCATATGAAATGTTAAAACACCTGCCCACTGAAACCCAAAAAGCCCTTCTTGCCCTGTATAACACGATATGGTTTTCCGGTGAGCTACTCTCAGCCTGGAAGGAAGTCATCGTTATCCCAATTCTAAAACAAGCCAAGGGCCCGCCCACGGGCCAATACCGTTAACTAGTTGTCTTTGCAAGGTCTTTGAGAAAAATTATACACAGGCGACTGATGCACATCCTTGAGACTAATGGCTTATGTGCCCCTTATCAGTGAGGGTTTGGAAAGGTTGGGCCCACCATTGACCACCCTGTCCGTATCGAGAAACAAATTTGCAACACTTTTATTCATAAACGGTCTTTCATTTCTGTGTTCCTCGATGTGGAAAAGGCCTATGACACAACATGGCACTTTGCAAACTACGAGACCCGTCACATTTAGGTGTGCCGGGTAGAATGTTAACAATAATCGAAAGCTATATGTCAAACCAGACATTCTGTGTTCGAGTGGGCACGGTCTTATCTTGAATATTTGTCCTAGAGACGGCAGTGCCACAAGGTGGTTTATTGAGTTGTGCACTTTTCATAGTGAAAATTAACTCCCTGCGTTTGTCTTTCCTACACAATGTGTTACTGCACACATGTAGATGATATACAGGTTGGTTTCGAATTGTGCAACCTTTCCTTGTGCGAACGTCAAGTTCAATTAGGTTTGAATAAGGTTTCTTAATGGGTGGGAGAGAATGGCTTCATACTGAACGCACAAAAGAACGCTTATATGTTTGCCCAAAGAGGGGCCTCCATCCCGACCCCTACATTGACCTGCATGGTCAACGTCTGTCTGTAAAGACTCAACATAAGTTTCTGGGCCTAATATTAGACATTAAACTAACCTTGATACCATGTATCAAGTATTTAAAATAAACATCATGAATAGTTTGAAAGGGTTGTCACGCACTGCGTGTGGTAGTGATAGGAAATGGCTGATGAATTTGTACAAAAGCCTCGTACGCGCCCACCTAGATTAGGGTGCTATAACCAATGAGTCTGCGACCCCATTAGCCTTAATGCTGAAAACCCTGTCCACCATTTAGGCATTCGCCTTTCTACAGGTGCTTTTCAAGCTAGCCCCGTAGGAAGCCTGTACATAGAATTAAATGAATGGTCCCTCCATCTGTAGAGATGTTACATGTCTTTTACTTAATATGTCAAGATGACCGTAGACAAGGCACATCCCACTCACTCAATTATTGATTTGTCCAATTCTACCTTGTTCAACAACCTTCCTTCGCTGAGACAACCCATCTTATTCTGGCTAAAAAGCTTCATTGAGGAAACGGGCGTGCCACTTCTAGAACACCAGTCGATGGCTCTCGTAGCATATCTGCCACTGTGGCAGTGGCAGGTTGTAGATTGCGACCTACCTTTCCTGGAAGTGACTAAAGAGGCTCCTACTACACGTGTCCGCATGCACTTCCTCGGACTCCAATACAAGTACACTAGCCCAGAATTCTTTACAGATGTTTCAGTCTCACATTAGTGTGTCCTATGCAGCTGTTGGCCCATACTTTTCAAATTTCGCTATGCTGCACCCCCAAACAAGCATTTTCACCACAGAAGCTCATGTGATATCTGTGGCTGTCAAGCATATTAAGGAATCACAACTGCAATGTGTGGTTGTATACAAAGATTTGCTGAGCAGCATAACAGCTTTAAAGGTGCTCAGAAAACATGAAAATCCAGTCCTAGTGTTGCTTTACTCTGTTATGCAAGGTCTATGCTCTTAAACGACATGTTCTAGCGTGCTGGGTGCCAGGGCATCGCGAGATCACAGGAAATGTGGCAGCAGACCAACCAGTCGCATGTGCGCACGACAACGCTGCCGCCAACACATCCATGGCTGTCCCTTCATTTGACATGAAGTCTTTCCTTCGATGGAAGCCCAGGTCACGTTGGCAGCGCCTGTGGTATAGGCAAACGGGAAAACAATTTGCATGTTATCTAACAGAGACTTGAAAATTGGCCGGCAGTATCCAGATCACGCTACACACTAGTAACACTTACCAGGCTACAGATAGGACGGACGGACACACACGCACGCGCACCACACACACACACACACACACACACACCTCTTCTATCCGGTGGTAACCAACCTATCTGTGAGAGATGTGCAGATATACTTACAGTTCTCGACATCCTTGTCCAGTGTAGTGATTTAGATGCTCTAAGAAAAAGGTACTTTTTATTGCTCTACTTACAGCAGCTTCTACTACATCCTGTCATGCTCATCGGTAGGGATGCTCTTTTTAATCCCCAATCAATGTTCATATTTTTAAAAGATGTACATAGTTTTCACCCTAAATTTTGAGGTAATTCATAGCTTGAACTCTGCACAGAGGTCGTGGCTACAGCGATCCTCACCACCAACACTGTCACTTATTCCATCTCTACACGTTTCATGTACTCCAGTAATTTTAATACTTTTTGCGTTTAAACCCACCTTAGATTTAAGGCCCCTTTACAGCCGCATAACAGTACCATTGTTCATATCCTGCTCATATCACTTCAATCATGGACCATTGATTTTCGTTCATCATGGTTAATGGCACTCTTTGGCCACGCATGGCCCTTTTGCCATAAACGCCCACATATCGTCGTCAGCTGCTGCTCACCTGAAGGTTGCGTGTTTGACTCCGGCTGTGGTGGTCACATTTTAGTTGAAGCGAAATGGTGTATGCCCGTGTACTGTGCAATGTCAGTGCACGTTAAAGAACAACAAATGGATGGATGAAAAACTTTTATTGGGGTCCTGAAGGATTCCACCCCCGTTTTATAGGGGCAGGATCGCGATGGTGAAATTTTTCTCTTTCACTACGGCGCCCCTCATAATCATATTTTGGGTTTGGGACATAAAAGCACAGCTATTTTATTATGAACCTCTTGTGTGATGACTGGTAATGGACCTGTTTGTACACAGGTTGAGGACATGACTGATGAGGCGTTTGAGGCTCGACACCAGGTCTGTGAGGAGGAAGAGAAGCAACGATTCGCAGGACTCCTGTCCAAAGCAGTTATAACCCAGTCAAAGCCTTCTGGTGGCTCCCAAACACCGCACCACAGGCTGCCGTACGACTCTATGGAGAGCTCCATGTCTCCTCCACCTTCTGGCCTGCCCTGCTGTGCCCCATGCGAAGTGGACCCCTACGAGCCTCGTACCTTCCCATTGGCACAGGAGGAGTACGAACAAATGGTGGCAGACTCCCCACATTTGCTACCTTCGCCAGCTGCATCGCCTTCCCACATGGTCACTGACACTTCCCCTCCCCCTCTGGAGCCAGGCCCTCTGGAGTCTGATACCCCTGGGTCAGGTCCACTAGAACTAGGCCCTCTGGATCTGACTCCAGAGTTAAGTCCTCCGGAACCAGCCCCTCTGGAGACAGCACCTCTCGAGCCACCATCTCTCGAGGCAGCACCTCTCGAGCCACTACCTCTCGAGACGCCACATCACGAGCCACTACCTCTCGAGACACCGCTTCTCGAGCCACCACCTCTTGAGCTACTCGAGCCAGCAGAGGAACCAGATCCAGGTGGCTTGACTTTCGACCCCAACAGTTATTTGGTACCTAAGGATGTTGCACATCCTGACCCACCAGCTGAGTGCATGAGTGTTGTGCCCATGTCGAATGACGATCCTGGCTGGACATCTGAGACGGAAGAGAATTTTATTCTCAAGTTGACCAAGAGATAATAGACCAAAGTGGCTTCTGGTGGAAAGGGCTCTCCGAGCTCCTTTCATTTTGCTGCAGTGTGATGGGACATCAAAGAAGGATGGTGGAACGTGTGTGTGTGTGTGTGTGTGTACATCTTCAATGCACAGGATATGTGTGTTGTGTGTCCACACTGTCCCATGAAGCCGAGTGACATGTGACCCGCCATGAAAAACATTTGTGGCCTGTTTTCTCTTTGTTTTTTTTCTGTTGTTTTTGTTGTAACTTGTTTTTGTGTAGTGTGTGTGCATCTTGTATATTGCTGTACATATAATATATATATATATATACCACACACACACTGTCATGATGTTGTATCATAGACTTGATTGCCTGATTAGACGGACAATATAGGTTTGCATTTTGGTCCAATTTTCTAGCCTCGGTTAGGAAAACAAATATAAACGCGCGTGCTTGACAGAATCTGATGGGCTGTACAAAGTGGATTTCATGCACCTGAGCATTGTTTTAATAGCGTGTGGCCATTCGTAATTCAGTCAATTGACAGTTCGATAGAAGTAATCATTTGCGCTAACATTGTAAGTAACGTTTTATGATGTTGGCGTAAGTGTTCGCTTTCCTCTTACTTTGCTTTGCATTGGCAGTTTGTAAAATATGTGGCGTTGAAGACAAATGCCTGTATTACCATTTCAGCTGATTCCATTACATTTGTACATATGGTTGATAGTCACATAGGTATTCAAAGGTCTAATGTAACTGGCACTCCGTGAGTCGCGTTAATATGCGGCTCTTCCTCTCCTCCCCCCAATCTAGACTGCTCTGCAATATAGGTTTCGAAAAGAGCATGGCAGGGAAGTTTGCATCATTTGTCGTGGCATTGTAATCCTCCTCTGTTTTATTGTTTTTTCAAGGTGGGTGTATTCAGAATTGCATAAATTGTTGAATTTGGGGGAAGCCTTTGTTGCCGGAATTGCTAACCGCTATGCTAGTCATGTGTGGTGGAAGATGCTAGCTATGACTTTCTTGACATCTATTTCCTGCACCATGCTTTGTTTAATGCTATATGTCATGTACTCGGGTCAAATTTTGAAATTAATACTTAAGTAAACTAAGAGTCGATCTGAGGAATACCGTTAGCCTCCTCAAAATCCTATTGGTTCTGTATATCCAATAAATACAGAAAGTGTATCAAGTAACTATGGGATTTCAACTGCTAAGCCTAAATGTAAGCATGGTGACATGCCTTCTCAAGCATTGCCTAAAATGTTTGAATCTGGTTTCTGTGCATTTTTTATGTGCCCATCATGCAAAATTTGTCAAGGTGAAATGTGTACATAAAACATCCACAATGTTTAGGATTGTGTACATTGCTGTTTCTGCATCGAAGACACTCTTTTTCTCATTACCCCTTCACTCCTTTTATTTCGTGTTCTTCCATGTTGGAGAGCGTGCAGTTCTTAGCTGACATTCAGCAGTTACGTTTGACAATAGCTTTTTCTAGATTGGTCAATAAAGAAAACATGCTGAGCCACCTTTTATAGTGTCGTAGCTAGTTGAGTTCTTGCCTGGCTCGCGCTTTTTTTTTCTTCTTTCCGTTTCTCTTCTTGATTTCAACCATTTTTGAAAAACAAAAATAATGGAGCCGTGCACCATATTTTGGGAAGAACAATGCCGTAGGCCCAATAATTACACATTTGTAATTAAACAAGTCTCATGTGCTGCTCATTTGGTGAGTAAACAGCAATGCAAATGGAGAGAGTTCTGTGTTCGTTTATCTCGTGAAGCTTGAGAAGCCAGTCTGTTTCGTGGCTGAAAGTAACACCTAGGTGTAGAAAAATCCTCTGGCACAAGCATTCTCTACAGTATAAAGCACTAATGGCTCCAGTGTAATTGGAGCATATCTTTTAAACATAGGGTGTGTCTTGACCAAGAATTGAATTCAATGCCAGGGCAGGCATTAAGTGCTAATCAACACTTTACAGTCTGAGAATGCCCTTCCTTTAGGCTTTGTAGTGTCAATGAAATGGCCGTCCTAGTGGGCAATGTCATTGTTGGGTCTGCAGTTAGCTACGTATAGGCTAAAATTACCCATTTGATGCTAGTTATTCTGGCAATATAAATGAAAAACTGGCATTTTGATGCAATAACACCGTGCGAGCAGTGCTGAATTTTCATTTAGAATACTCTAAGAGAGGCTGTTTAAGCTTAGAGAAAATCCATTAGTCGGAAACAAAAGTTGTCATGAAAAGGTACACACTCTTCCTCTGCATCTTCAGCGTTGCTCCAAGAAAACTTACACTGATGTGCGGTGTGGGATGCGATAACATGATTGGCGAGAGTACGATTACAGATAAAGAGATATAAAGGTTAGTAGGGAAAGAAAGAGGAGACAAGAAATATGTAAAAAGGAAAGATAAAGAAAGGAGGATGCTGCAATTTCAGGCTTTGCACTTGTAGTGTCAAGCTACCCCCCCTCCTTTTTTTTTCACTTTATTCTTTCTGAAAATTATTCCAGGCTATTGTGGGGTCTGAAAAGAACCGCTCTCAAGTAGCACGGCCACAGTCATGAAATTGTTTTCAATTTGGTTTAAAGCAAGCACAAGGGCTCATTTGAGGTGGCAGCACCTCGTGTCAAGGACACCATTTTTGTGGCGCTCTAAAGGTAAAGCGAGTATAGCGGCTTTCACCTTGCCAGGCTGCTCTCAAAGGTTGTTTTGGCTGCTTACCCCAAGAATGCTTTCCTTCGTGAAAGAATGCATCTGTTGTTTTCTCTGAGACCTGTAATATCATAAATTTCGGCATAAGCTCTTTACTAGAGGAGAACATATAAGTCAGTTTCATTTTTTTTTTCAATTTCACGCTGAAATCCCAACGCACAGATTTAAAAATTCAGTTGTCGTGTTTTGGGGACATAAGCACAACGGAGTTTCCTAAAACTTGGCATGCCCGCTCAGAGGTCAATCTAATTTATCTTTACCGATTAGGAACTACATGGGCCCTAGGAGACGTCGTGAAGACATTTGACGTCACTACGTTTGGTGCGGTGATCCTAAGGTAACGCATTTGTTTGTTTCCCTGGACTCATGGCTTACACCCACTCAGGGGGATTGGCCAAGAAAGCGTAGTGCATTTTTACTGTGAGCATTGTAACTATGTGTAATGAATTTGTATTATATTACGACTAATGTAAGGAAAACCACATAAAAAGAGAGCAAACGAAAAAAAGAAAGAAATGGAAAAGTCATGTTGAGAAATTTTGAGATTTCAGGTGTTGTGATTACCACTCAGCTGCGTTTACTTCACCTCACCATTTAGACTTTTTTTTTTTTTTGGTAAAAATAATGTTTATTTGATTGAAGATGGCAAAGGTATACGTTTGGATGCCTGAATATTGTAAACGGCATTGAAAGCATCCTCTGTGGCAATGTCCCAAAACAGGCACCAAAGCTTAGTGCAGTTTCCGCCGTCAATCTAACGCCTATTTTCAGAAATTGCAAAAGTATAAGACCTTTTCTAAGTGTATCGTATCGGCGACAATACAAAAAACAATGTTCTATCGACTCCATTTCTCCGCAGAATGCGCAGAGGGGTGATTATTGCCTCACGTAGACACCCAGTTTTCGTTCTTTTCTCTTGCGCGCGCGCGTGTGTTTCCGCTTACCAATTAAGCGTATTCTCGCGGCCTGCGCCAACGAGATCCCGTACTAAGGATCCCACTCTCCGATCTTTATTGCGCAGATTATCTAATAAAGACACGGTTTATTCTCTCTCGTGTGGCGATATGGAAATTTAGAAAGAGTATAGTTCCGAAGCAAACGTGCATATGTGTTTAGTTTCTTACAATTTTATGCTGGCGTTTATGGTCACGATTATTATACGATACATTAGAGGATTCGCGGTTCAGTTTTGGCATTACTAGGCACATGGTTACAAACTGCAGGGAAGAAGTCGCATACGAAAGTTTCTCTGTCCTTTGAAGTTAAGGCACCGTGCAGTCAAGTTTTTGTTTGTTTGTTTGTTTGTTTGTTGACTACAGCAAGAACGCTCAGCCTAGCGGATTAAAAAAAAATCACACCTACCCAAAGAACCCCGATGGGACGCGAAGCAGCAGCGTTGTGCATGGGTTGAACGGCACTAACGTGGGTGCTGGGGTGCGCGCTGGAAGATTCGTTTGAAGCGTCATGTTTGCAGCGCGTGAACCGACGAGTCGGCGGTGTAGCGAGTCAGTCGAGTTTCCCAGTGTGACTGCAGCGCCATAATACATAGCCTGGCGGATAAAAAAAGAAAACTTGAGACGGCATCGGTGAAAATGGAACGCGACGCGAGCGTCATCGCGCCCTGCATCTGTCGGCGAATCGCGGCCGGGATACATGGGAGACGCGGGAACGCGTCTCTCTACTGCGTGCCCCTAACGGCGAATGTCAGAAACTTTGAGACGGGGCAGTGTGAGCAACGCAGCTCCCTCTGGTCAGTGTGCGGTGCCGTTCATGTGGAGCGGCGATAGCTGCTGCGTTGTGGGCGAACGAACGAGGCGGTCGCTGCAGCGAGTGTGTAACGATAACTGTGCGGCTTTATCTAAAAAAAAAAAAAAAATATCGCGCCATCTCTCGCTAATTGGAGACATGTGTAGATGCGAAGCAGCGGGCGCTAACGCTTACACTATCGCGGCGTTGTGCAGGAGAGAAACCTGGAGAGGCGCAAAGCAGTGCAGTGATGCACTTGTGTTTCTTACTGGAACATGTAAATCGTTGCTAACATGGGCAATTAGAGAAGACTCCGATAGGACGCAGAGACCCGCAGACCGCTTTCAGTTAACGCGCACGCTGCGATTTTTTTATTGTTGAACAACGCACAGGAGAAATCTCTCACCGGCACTAACTTGAATGGCCGAAATCCAGTGCGGGGTGGCCAGTGACGGTTGTGCAGCGCGATGATGATGACGATGATGATTAACAAACTTTATTTAATCAGCAATCAGCGCGATCAAGTCGCTTTCTTTTTTTTTTTTCTCAATCGAGAAACTCGCTAGCAGACGCTGCCTGCGTCGGCGTGCGAGAGAGAGGGGCGGACGCGCATCCGCTATGGTATTGTAAACGCCGCGGGGATACAGTGTGCTACAGTTCTAGTACACTCTAGATGGGGAGGAATGCCTAAATCATCGAGTTCATACAATTATTGTTTGAAACTCTATGGCCTAAATGAAAGGGGAAGCGTTGCGGAAGCAGGTGGTAAGAAGTAAGTGGAGAGAGTGGCGCATGGCGATGGGAGAGATCAGGAAAGGGTTAGAGGAGAGGGTGGTGAATCTGGATCGGGCGCATCTGGCTAGCATTGATAAAACAGAGGACGCGTTCTACAAATATTACATGGGGTGTACTTGACAAAAACCGGTATGATTAAGAGACGCACCGCAGTAGAGGGCTTATAAAATTCCGACCGTCTGGGCTTTCTCTTCTTTTTTTTTTTTTCAGCGTGAACTGACATCGTACAGTGCACGGTACATTTCTCTTCCTGGACAGTGATGTTCCGTGCAGGTAATTTTTTTCTTTTTTCGGGGAATTTTCAGCCCTCATTTCGGACGAAAGGGAAAAAAGGGAATCTGCGATGTTACAGGGAATTTCAGATATGGTTCAGTCTACAAATGCGGGCTCATTTATTGCAGTCAGAGTGCGCGTTCGACTCCCGCAATCTGTTCTGGCACACGCAACATGCAGGCATAGATAGCCCTTGTGATTAGCTTGATATTGAGTCATTGCTAGTTGACAGCTGGCGTGGACTCCAAGTCCACTTTTTGCAATGTACTTACAGCGCATGAGTTTAAGATATCATGCTTTTGTTATGCATGAGCACAGGCGTTTGATTTTAATAGCCCCAAACACGGCACACACGCATTTATATATGTGTGTGCGTTATATATGCACATATGTGCAGGGAAATATGCTGGGAATTCGGTCAGCGTACGCACAGCAAAATGCCCAAAAAAGGAAATGTTCATGTCTCGAAATGGAAATTATTCAGCGCACTACATACAGTACGTCACTGCTCCTCCATCGAAATGTGACTTCCGAGGCTGGGATCAAATCTATGCGAGGTTAAACGTCAAGAAAGCACGTCGTCACAAGGTTGCCAACACCAATATTGCTGGACGTCCGCGAAGTTCCGGCAACTGGTCGATGGTGATAGAAACGGGTTGGTCTAATCGAAGGTCGTGTCGTCGCGTTGTCTATCGCACTGACCTCGTCATCTGGCATCGTGCACGCTGTCGGACACTTGGTTAAATCAGCCCGGTGGCGTGGAATTGATGGAAAACAGGTGCGAGTCAAAGTTGGAACGTTTAAACCGGTCTATGTATAATCACCAAGACACGTGGTGCCGTTAGAGTGCAATGTGAGCGTCTTCAAAGTTCGTGGCTTAGGGAGCCTTCATGTGAGCGCGTCTCCTACGGATACGGAGACGCGCGCACATGAAGGCTCCCTATTCGTGGCTGCTCTGCAGGCGCCCTCTCGCTGTATTCGTCTCCTACAGACACCTGCTGTGCCTG